GCCGTCGGGGGCCTCCAGCTGGGCAAGCCGTGAGGAGCGCCACCTGGGGGAGGGGTGCCTCTGGCAGCCTCTCCCCCACTCCTCCGCCTCTTTCTCAGGCCCCGGCCAGAGAAGTAGCAGCTCCAGACCTCACGCTGCGCCCAGCCACGACCCGAGGAAGAAAACTGCCTCTTCCTGGCACTTTCCCCAGAAGGCCCAGCACGTTTCCCTCAGGCCTCGGGCCTCTCTGAGCCACTGGCTGCTCCTGGAACACGTGCTGGACGGGCGTGTGTTTGCCCATAGGCCCACCTGTCCCTGGAGCGGTGGTGGGCTCAGGGTCCCTGGAAGGGAAGGAGGGTCCTGCGCAGACATGGGTGTGCCTTGGGGGCGGGGAGAGTGAGGCCGCTTCCCTTAACTCTCCCCACCTCCTACACCCACCTCACAGGTGGGAAAACCGAGGCTTTGGCGGGGGAGGAGGTTGCTCAGACTCTCATAGCTGGAGAGCGTTGGGCCGGGAGTCTTCACGGAACACGGCACGCTCACGTCCGGGAGGACTCAGGGCAGCTCGTCCCCCTTCTCTGGCTTCCATCTGAGTGTCTCTGGGAGTCCCCAGCAGCCCATATGTTCTCAGAGGTGAGCGAGGGAAAAGCCAAAAGGCAACTCATGACATTCCAATAAACCTCCTGGGATCTGAGAGAGGTCCCAGGATCCCAGCACCCAGAGAGGGAGGGGGGTGAGGGGTCAAGAGAAGTCAGCAGGTGAGCTGCTCCACGAGGAAGCAGCACGTGCAAAGGCCCTGGGAGTGTCCCAGCCGTTGAGAGGCGGCCCATCATGGTGGGGTGCAGAGGGAGGGCGTGAGTGGGTCAACAAAGGTTGGAAGAGCAGCCAGCGGCAGACGTGCGAGATCCTATGGAGGTGGGTCTTTGTCTCAAATGCAGTAGGTGTTGCATTATGTCTGTCAGATGGGTGGGGTCCTGGGGTCTGCTGGGCACATCAAGAATGCACAGCAAGATCCAGGGAGCCAAGCGTCCAGCGCACATTTAAACACACGTGTAGAAAAGTGTGTGACTCTTTCATGCGCAGCAGGATCAATTTCCACCCGACTAGATCTAAGTACAGAACAGCGCCAGCGTCCCAGAGAGCCTGCTGATTTTTTAAAAAGCTAATTTAAAAGTAATGTTTCTAAAAAATAAATAAATAAAATTAAAAAAAAATAAATATATTAAAAAATTAAAGTATTGTTTCTGTGAATGTGTAAATCACCCATGGGATTCAAAATTCAAAAGGTATAAAGGGTGCAAGATGAAAATATGTTTCCTGCCCCTTCGCTGGGTACTCCAATTCCCACCCTGGAGACAGCTGGGGTTACGAACTTCTGCAGAACCCTTCCAGAGACCTTCCATACTCAGAAAAATACACTTGTATAGTCTTTTTTCCCCTTTTCTGTAAAAACCGTAGCATACCACGCCCACCACTCCATACCCTGCTTAGTGGTACATGCTGTTTATAAGGCGAGCCGTCCGTCTTTGTCTTCCTTTTTTTGGGGTAACGGCTTTATGGAGACATAATTCACATACTGAACAATTCACCCATTTAAAGCATACAATCCAATGGGTTCTAGTACATCAGCCAGCGTTGCGCAGCCAGCACCACAGAACCTTCTCATCACCTTGTCGGTCTTCACGGCTGCCTTGGACTCCTTTGTGGGCTTGAGCCAGTTTCTTTAAGCAGCTTCCTATTGCTCCGCCGACGCTCCTAAGAGATCAGGCGGCCTCAACGCCTGTTTCCTGCTTCCCTGCGGTGGGCACGCCTGACTTCGACCCTGCACACACATCGCCCTGGGAACCTGCATGCACCGGGCTTATCGGGTGAGGTTCTGTCTCCCCGACGGGACAGGCAGCTCCCAACCCGGGGGCTCGTGGGGAGCAGAGGAGGGCAAGGCCAGGCTCTCCTGTCCACAGCCCGTGAAGGGTTCGGGCAGCAGGCAGCGGGAGGTGGCCGGGGTGGGGGGCGGCATGCCAGGTACAACAGGAGAAAACACCCCCGACTTCACGTAGAGGGGGCTGAACTTCACCGAGCCGCCAGCCTGGAGAAGAGCCCAGCCCAGCGCCCCTGCCCCGAAGACCAGAGGACACTGCCTGGCTCCCTGTGACGAGGCCGGACTCGGACCCACGAAGGACCCACTCTTCCCCCCGACCCAGGGAACACAATGCTCATAACCAAACTCTGGTGACCTTCCCTCTCCGCCCAGACCCCCGAACTCAGCCCCTCAGCCGGAGGTGACAGCCCCTCCTGGAACAGGCCACCTGGGGGATCTTCTCTCCCCATGCCCCTCCCAGCCGCCCTCACCCCACCCCCACCCCGGCCCCTTCCAGCCCCTTCCCCTCCCTGCGGAGGAGACCCTAACCCTCCCCCAGCTCCCCCGAGACGACTGCCCGTCCTGTGGTCAGGGCCCATCTGCAGTGACCTTTCCAACATCCCTCCTTACTCAGGCCAGATCTGGCTTCCATGTGACATTTCTTTCCCTGGGGGATTCGCAGCCCGAGTCAAGGGACAGAGCCCAGAGATAAAACAGGAGCGGCTTTACTGGAAGACCCCGCCCCCGTGGCTCCTTGAGAACCAGGCAGGGCCGTCCCACGAGACCACCTTCAGAGCCTGGAAGACGTCATGGTAGCCAGAGGGACGGGCGGGAAGCGCAGTCACGTCCAGGGGCACCCTCCCGCTCCCATGGCCGCCCGGGACACAGCGGCCCTTGGCAGTGGGAAAATGTTCGCTCCCCGGAGGAACCAGCCTCGCCGGCTGTGCAGGAGGGATGATGAGGTGGAACCCTGTCGAGACGAAGAGCGGCCCAGCCTGCAGCCTCTGGAGCAGGGAGACCCAGTCGGCCCTGAGGGCTCCTTACCCTGGACTTGCTGCATTCCCAAGTTCAGGGGCCTGGCTGGTCCAGAGAGCGCAGGTGGCCACTACCTGCCCGGGCTCGGAAGGGTTGGGACCACGAGGTGGGCAGGGCCAGACCCACGCCGACTTTGGGCCCCAGAGCCCTCCTTCGGGGAGGGGGCGAGGGTAAGAGCCCGTCTGGGGGCCACATGCCATCCTTCGACCAGCCTTCACAGAGATCAATGAGGGAGAGTGGCTTCTGGAACCTTCTGTGCCCCTCTTTGACCCAGAGAGGATGTGTTCTCCGGTGAAACGGGTAGAGACAGGTTCTGTGAAGATCTGATCACCCGGGGTGTTGGTGTGACCTAGGTGTTTAACTTTAATCACCGTTGAGTTCCTACTTGCAGAATTAAGTCACCCTGTGGCTGGAGAACAAAGATCTGGGTCTTGCCAGACTCTGGGCCCCAAGAAGTAACGAGTGCAGCTCGGGGCCTGTGTGGCGTGGCCGGGCACACGAAGAAATTGAGGAGCAGTTTCTGGCAGGAGGGTGAAGGGTCCTGGGGCCCCAAGGGAGGCTGGTAGCCTGGCGCAGCCCCACGAGTGCAGAGGGTGCCTTTGGGGGTGAGGATGTGCTGCTCTCCTGGGCCTCGGGCCACCCCCTTCACCATCTTGGAGGCCATGGAAGGGTCACACGTTTACGACGCACGAAAGGGTCCTGTCCAGAGGCAGGAGCGCCAGGGGGTGCTGCTTCCTCCCCGGGGTCCTTGTAACATCACAGCGTGTCTGAGCTCTCCCACTGGGCCCGGATGTCACCCCCCGCCCCCTCCCACTCCCACTCTGCCTGGAATCCAGTTCCGCTTGCCTGGCCCCCATCCCCAGTCTGCAGAGATCCCACGCCCTCACCGTGGTTCTGGCTAACCCCACGGGCAGGGCTGGTTCAGCGATGTCAGAGGTCCCTGCCTCGCTGCCGACAGCCTGACCCCGCCGGCCGCTTCCCCAGGCAATTTCCCAAGAATTCGGGGACTACGAGAAGAGGCCTCCCATCCCACCACCTTCTTCCCCACCTTCTCCAAACAGGCTGCTCTCTCCGTGCACAGGGTTGGGCGAATGTGCCCTGGTCCCCCACCCGGAGGCATTTCTCTTCTCTCGCTCCCTCCTGCCCCAGAGGACCCTGACCAGCTCCGCTCAGGCCACACGCGGGGGGCAGTTCATTCAGGTTGCTTTGAGACCTGTCCTTTCGTGTCCAGACCCTTTTCCGTCAGTGACCGTGAAAGGCACACTCGTTAAGGGCCAAGGAACGATCAGGATGCCAGTGCCCTTTCATGTGTCCCACCTGCTCCCATGGAGACGGAAGTAGGACTTTTAACACACTAGTCAATGCATCACGGTCTGTGCATCTCACGGAGCTGCCCCTGGGGTTTTGTTCAGCTGGTCTCCCTGGAGTAATAGGTTTTCGCCAGCAAAAAGCGAAGCTACATGGTGCTCAGGGACCCTGGGCACCCAACCCGCTGGGGGCAGCACCAGGACCTGGCCCGTGGCTGGTACTCCCTTGCCCCAAGCCCAGGGGTTGGAGTGGAAACCTCCCCAGGGGCACCCAAGGCCCCTGGTCCCAGCAGCCTGGGCTCGCTCGGCAGCTGCCGTGGATGAGCCTCCTGCCCTCGTTGAGGTTCAGGCGGCCTTCCCATCCTGGCACACCCCCGTCCCGCCACGCAAGGCCCCTCGAGGAGTGGAGTTTGCCGGCATCGAGTGAGGGCTGGCAGGGCTCTGGGCCCTGCTCCACCCCGAGGCTGTGATGACTACCCTCAGGGCTGTTGTGGAAGCCTGTCCCTTCCCTCCGACCCCAAGATGGCACGTGCCTCCTCCCGACCCGGTGCTGGTCTTGGCCTGGCTGTCGCCCCAAGGCCAGGCCTGTGCTCCTCGGTCCCAACTTCAATGTCCCTCCTGAGAGGTGGACCCAAACTCCCCCCTCTCATCCCCTCGCCTCCTCCCTGGCCCTGAGCACCCACCTGTGGCCTCGAGGAGGCTGTTGGCAAATGAATGAATGAATGAACGAACGAACTGGGCAAGGAGGTGTATGATCAACCCCCCCCCCAACCCCAGGAACCTCCCTACAGCCAGAACCTGGCACTGAATACAAGACAGAAAACCATCAGCAGTGCTTATAATTCTTTAGAAACAAACAACCCCCCCACAAAACACAGAACTCCCCATCCCGAACCAGCCAAGCATGTAACAGGTTAGCGGTTGGCAGAAGAGAGAGGCGTGAAGTCACACACGTCACTGCGCGACATCGTGGTGGGTGGCTGGCGTGGCTGGGACCCGTGGAGCAGCTGGGCTGCACGCCACTCCCACGATAAATAAACACGGTGCCAACAGCATCCCTTACACTAGTGAGACGTGAGGACGAAACAAAGCAGAACGGCTGCACACTTGTTATGCCAAAATGTGGCTTAAAAAAAAAAGTAACCCACGAAGGTGAACGCTCAGGACACTTGTCAGTAGTGTGGTCAGGAGTGGAGTCTCTGCCCCAGAACACAGACACGCCTGCCTTCTAAGGGGTGGGCGTGGCGGGCAGAGCGGGGGCCCTGGGCTGCACGGGACCCCACAGCCTCAAGAATCACAGCCTGGGCCCACAACCTGCCTTCCCACATGCTGTGGAGAGCCACGCTTCAGAACTACCTCTGACCTTTCAGTGCGTAAAGGGACCCCGTCACTCCTGCAGGGGTGGCACCACCCCACTTCCCCAAGATGCACATGGTGGGAAGGCCACTGCAGTCTGGAAAGGGACACCCGGCTCCCTGCACTCTGCCAGGTCACATCCAGAGCCAGTGGTCTGACCACGATGCGTCCTAAGTGTCGCCCCAACACCCTGGAGGGAAAGAGGCCAAAATCTGCTCAGCGGTTGCTGGACCCCAGCGGAAAGGCAGTGGGCAGTGCACCCCAGGCAGCACCCTGCCCGCCCCCTGTGCGAGGGGCTGCGGTGGCTACGACGGCCAGTCTCCTCCTGAAGGGGCACAGTCCCACCAGGCAGGTAGTACAGCAGCTGCGGGCCCCATTTACAGGTGAGAAAACTGAGGCCCCAATACAGAAAGTCTAAAACCAGGTCTCTGACCTCCTGGATGACATTCTGCCTTCAGACGTTGAGCTGAGCCCCTAGATGCGTGGTTTGCAGCCCCGGGACAACTGAGTTGGTGAGGAGACTTCCGTGGACGTCGGTCCTCCTCACACGTCAGGCGCTACAGGCGGGCAGGGGTCTCCTGACCAGCACGAAGAGGGAGGGGTGGACACGTGGCCACCTCTGTTTCGGCCTCAATGCCCAGCCTGGCCCCCTGCAACAAGCTGCTTGTCAGGTCTCTCTGGGCCCATCGGACCATGTGGGGCCCCGGAGCCCAGGTGGGTGGCAGTGGATGGACTGGCCACTCGGAGCTTACATGGCCCCTGGGAAATGGCTATAGCTGAGCAGTGAGGCTCAATGCCCAAGGGCTAGTCTCATCCTTCCCCTGGTGGGAAGGTCAGGGGTCAGAGACCAAGGCAGAGCCGCCAGCGCCTAAGAGGGGCCTGGAGGGAGCCGATCTGACCTTTGGTGACGCTGCTCCCCAAGCTGACTCTGTGGACAGTGACGGCACAGGAAAGCCAGCCGGTGGCCAGGCCAGAGGAGCTTCTGGGCCTCGGCTGCCTCCCCTGGGGAAAATGCTATGGGAACCACAAACACAAAGCCTGCGAGCACAGCCTCTCCGGAGGGGAGGGTGGGTGTACCATGCTGGTATCAGCGGGAGCCAGACCCCCTGAGTCAGGTGGCCTCCAGAGCAGGTGCAGTCAGAGTGCCAAGGCCTGGACTCTAGCTCCCCGAGCCTGGGACAGGTGACAGGGGCGGGGACAGCAGTGCCTTGGCCAGCAGCTGAGAGCCAGCCCCAGATAGCTGGCAGGTCTGCCGTCCAGCCCTCGAGGCCCGGGAGAGCTGCCTTGCGGGAACACAGAGGAGAAGCCCATGAAGGGTCACCGCGTCTGCTTCCAGATTTCAAGTGTGAAGCTTTCAAAAGACTAGAGCTTGGCTCCAAAACCGATGCAGAACAGACCTGAAACAGCACTGCCCACTTGCCCACCATAGGAGCTGCTGGAAGCTTCTGGCCTTTGCTCAGGCTGGTGTCCAGGGAGGGACTGTACAGTCAGGAGCCCAAAGGTGTCCTGAGTGACAGGGTCTAGCCCCCAAACTGGCCCCGATCTGCACGTCCCGGTGGGAGGTCCGGGGTCTCCAAGCTGCCCCTGACTTCCACTCGGATCCCCCTGCCCGTGGCAGGCACCAGGGCACCACTGTCGATCAGCCCAAGGCCTTTCCTTCTACAAGCCTTTCATTCAGATGTTCTTTCTTTTCTGGGGTTGGGAAGGGAGCTAGCGCAGGTCTTTAAGGCAACGAGACACGAGCACGTGGGTTAGTTTCACGAAAGTCACTACATCTACGGTAACAGAGAAACGGCAAAGCCCAAGCGCATGTGTCCAGGCCACCGTCCAGAGGGTTCTCGGGGGGGTTCTCAGAACCCCTCCGTTCTCGAGACGTGCCGGAATCTGGCGACAGGATCTGGTCCCTCTGAGGCACATCGTGCTACGGGTGGCATTAGGGGAGAAAAGACGCGCCGCCCCCCCCCCCGCCAACACACGTTTCTTTAAAAAATAATCATCTTGGTGGTGTCGACGCGACCTAAGATTAAGTTAAAACAAAAATAATAAAGGGACTTCCCTGGCGGTCCAGTGGTTAAGACTCGGTGCTCCCAATGGAGGGGGCACAGGTTCAATCCCTGCTCGGGGAACTAAGATCCCACGTGCCGCACGGCGCGGCCAAAAAAATAAAATAAAGTTAAAAAAAAGTACAAATACACAAAGGTGAGAAGGGAGAAGGCCCGATTCGGCAGGAAGCCCCGCGGCCTCCTCGGCCCAACGTTCCCGCCTCCACGCTCGAGAGGTATCCACGGACATCCGTCTTCTGGGACTAAATTCGTACCAGGGTTCACAGTGGCCCGGCCGCCACCCTGGGGGAGGGACAGTGGGGGCCCCCAGCTGAGCTGCCTGGATGATGGAACCGGAGTCGCTTTCTAAGGGGTGGGTGGTTTAAAACAATCTCTGCGTTTTCTTTCCGGCAGCTTCTCAGATCCTGTCGCTTACGTCTCCTGGGGAACCACATGCATGAGCTTCTGGCAAAGGACCGTCGTGGAAACTGCCAGGAGAAGAGCGGAGTTACTTGGGGATCCTCTGGTCCTGGGCCTGGGGGGTCAGGGCAGCAAGGGATGTGGGCTCACCCCACCCCGTCCTGAGGTTGTAGGAGAAGCCAGAAAGCCAGAAATTTATGTGGAACCTCCCAATTTGCGTGTGTGTGCGCGCGCGTGCGCACATCGGGCCTACAGGCCTCCTAACGGTTACGTTACTCAGGGAGGTGTGGCCAAGGATCCCGGCAACAGGCGGGTGCCGGCTCCACCCCTCATCCCGGTTCAGACCCCAGGACCATCGAGAGACGTAACTAGATGGTGGCCCCCCTGCTGGAGGCCTGTGACACCACACCTGGGCCACCGCCTGGCATACCTCCAGGACCGGCAGCTAGCACGCCCACCGCGGACCTCAGAGGGGCTGGAACAGGCGGGTGTGCTGGCGCCCAGGTGAACCCATCACCCACAGAGCCTTCACGAGCATCACTCGGGGGAGATTTCAGAACGGAGGGGCCCTACTCTAGGCCCTTGGTGTGTTCTGACAGCTCTTCAACAGGGACTACAGTCCGGGCTGGAGGCAAAGCTCCAGCAACATGATGGGCAGCGTCCTGGGCCCCGGGCAGGTGCCCATCAGAATTCTGGGACGGCTACCCTGGGGATTTTGAAGCCCATGCAGAAGCCTGTCACACTAACAGCGGTCTCGGCACAGGGTCCTGAACCAGGCTTGTAAATGAGCCCCGTGGCCACAGTGCAGATCCTGTTTTCTCCTCCTCAGCCGGCTGGGTTTAAGCTGGCGGCAGACGGGGATTTCGTTACTTGGCAAGAGCGGCCTGGTTTTCTGGAATCCCTTGTTCTGGGATTAGCTGGTGCGCAGCTGAGCGCCTTACCCTGAAATACGTAGGCTAGGTCACCACCAGACACGCCCAGCACGGTCTGCTCGGCCAGGGCCTCACACGTCCCGACCCCGACCCCCGCTGACCCAGGGCCGTGGGCACTGCCTGCCGCGTCACTCCTGGCCAGGTGGGCGGGGCAGACCCCAGGGCGGGTGGAGGAGGCCCGGCCTGGGGGGAGGTACTCACAGATGCCCTGCAGCAGCCACTTGGGCTTGTTTTTCCACCAGACCCCGAGGAAGTAGATAGGCAGGCCACTGAGGATGATGGTGAAGCCGATGCCGCACTCCACGGGGGTCTTCCAAAAGGAGACGGCGATCAGGAACAAGCAGGCCAGGATGAACAACGCCGGGAGAGCCAGGTGGACCTGGGGAGGGGACGCAGCTGACACGGGGAGCAGGACCTCCCCGCGGGTCCTGCACCTGCGGTGTCCTGGCCAGCCCTGGGAGCATGGCGCCCTCCCTGTGCCCCCGCCAGAGCCGGCCTCGCCCTTGGGCCCACCCAGCCCCCCCCCTGGACCGCCCCCCCCCCCCCCGACAGCCCTGCGCCCAGCTTATCCTTCCGGATCCAAAAGGGCCCGACCTCCCGGGCTGCTGCACTCGCCGTGCAGCGTCTCCAGGGTTTACTAGGGCCTGAGGTTCCCCTGGGTCGTGCTGGCCTCTTGAGAACCTTGTTCTCCGTTTACCCACCTCAGCACCCAGCGCTGGGCAGTAACTACCCAAAGCCCAGCTGGTGCTGGCGGGTGAGCTGGACCAACCAGGCTTCCCAGGTGGGGGAAGGTGGGCCCCCCTGGTTCCCACATCGCAGGGCGGGACCCCGGCCCCGCCCCTCACCACTGTCCCGTGGTGTTGGGGCAATGCCTCTGGGAAGGCCGTGGCCACCCGCTAATAGGCAAGGGGCACCCACCTCCTCAGAGAGTCCTTGCGGATGGACTGGACCACAGGCTGCGTGGCTGCTTGGCAGACAGCCCCGCCCACACAGGGCCCAGAAGAGGAGCCACAGAGGCACCCACAGCACAGCCAGGGCCCCAGGGACACTTGTCCCCTGTCTGCACCCACCGTGCCTCCTGCCAGGCGGCCTGTCCACATCCGGAACCCGCCCTCTGTCTACACCTTGGCAAGAGACCCTGGGGTGAGCGAGGGTCCCGTCAGGTCGGCCCTCATGCCTGCTCCACCCCCAGCTCCACAAGGATAGGCCTGCTCCCCACAAGCAGGGAGCAAGGTGGTCTAGGGCACTGAGGTCGCCGGGTCCCCTGGTGGAACCTGTCCAAGACAGGAAATCTGGTCCTGGCTGGCACTGCAGGACTGCTCGGTGGGCGAGGGGCCCGTGGACAGGCGCCAGCTGCTGGCCACATGCCACCAGGACCGGAAGAAGGGCAGGAGCTGCCGGTCGGCAGCCGCCACACCACGGGCTCTGCCCTCTCACTCCGGCATGACTGTCGGGGGCATAGCTGACGTGCTCACCAGGCCTCCCCAGCAGGGGTGTGATGCCCTTTTTGGAGAAACAAGGTCGCCCTTGGGCAGCTGTGCCCAGTACTGAGTTTATGAGGACACAGAAAGCCGACCTCAGGCCGGGGGCACGGTGGGCAGCCTGGTCCCGAAAAGCCTCCATTCACTCAGGGGCAAAGTCAGAGGACGCGCCCCTCCCCAGACAAGGTGGGACCCGTCCCCTCCGCCCACGTGCAGTCTGCTCTTGGCCACCCCGGCCGCCCGGGGCCGCAAGCTGCTTACTTCTGCTCCTCTCCTTTCGCTAGAAGATAAGCTCTAGGAGGATTAGGTGCTGGGGGTGGGGGGTGACTATCGTGTCCTTTGACGAACCCCAGCACCTAGAATCAAACAGTCATCAACAGAACTCAAGGCTTTTCACCAGGGCCCTTGGAGAAGGGTGCCCTGAGCTCCGGTGTGCAGAGGGGACAGAGGCCCACAGAGTGACGCTGGCTGCCCGGGCACACGTGGGGACCGCGCGGACGCTCACCTTGATGGGCCGCTCCAGATCTGGCTTCTGGTAGCGGAGCCAGATCATCCCGATGATGGCCAGGGCCACACAGAGCCAGTTGAAGAAGCTGAAGAAGTTGATGACGGAGAATATGTCTTTGGAGAAGGCGTACAGCAGGGTCATGGCGCACTGCAAGCACGGGGATGGGCTGTGAGCTGCTGCCGCCGCCGGGACACATCTGGCGGGCGGGCTGACCGCACGCACCCACTCCCGTCTTAAAGGAAGATGTGGTCTGTGGGACACGCAGGCCCTCACGGCAAAGGAAAGCGCTGATGGGGAAGGGGCCAAGGCGCCTGGATTTCAAGGAGGGGTCACAGCCCACGCGCTGCCCTGCGGGGGAGGTTTGGCTTCACACGCCTCCAGGTTGTTTCTGCTTCTTGTTTCTCTCTCTCTTTTTTTAAATAACCACCATGTATTAATTTTGGAACGAGAAACAAAAAACCATCCAGCGCCATGTGGAGTTCAGGGGAGAGTGTGGCAAAGAGCACGACGTGGAGACACACTTCGCGCTACAGCCCGTCTCACCTCCACCTTGGCCTCCGGCCCGCAGCCCGGTGACACTAGGCGGAGCCGGGACGGCGTGGCCGCTCCCCGGACTCCCTCTGCAGAGCCCCCAACAATCCCCGAGGGACATGCCCACACTCCACCTCACCCCACCAGTGACCCCCGCCCCATGGAGGGTGGGGACTCACCGTGAACACGAGCGAGGGCACGGGCGTCAGCAGCTGTGGGTGGATCATGGAGAGAATGGAGGGCAGGTGGCCCTCCCTGGCGCCCACGAAGAACAGCCTGCGGACAGAGGGGAAGGCGGTCGGCCTTGGCCGAGGGACCCAGGCAGGTGGGGAGCGGAGGGGGCCTGTGCTGAGGACCGGGCTCCCTGCCGTGGGCCTTGGTGTCCCCCACGGAGCCAGCTGGCAAGGGGCCCTGTCACCTCCAGCCCCCCGCAGGGCTCATGTGAACCCACGAGAGAGCCTGGACGGACACAGCAGTTGTGTCACCTCTGGGCAGGAACGTGCGTTATTTCTGTGTCACTTGAATGTTTTGACAGCTATGTTATTACTCAAAGTAACAAAAAATAGAGCTCTCCGAGAGCACGCGAGAAAGCCACACGTAGCAGCTCCCCACGCGCAGCCCCGCCCGCTCCCCCGCTCTGCCGCCAGAGCCTGAGTGAGCGAGGGCGGCGGCCCTGGCGGGGCTCACCTGGAAGACGTGAAGAGGGACCCGTTGACGGAGCCAAAGCAGGACAGACCCACGAAGACGGGGATGATCCAGGACATGACGCCCAGGTGGTAGTTCCCAAAGTCCTAGACGGACGCTGAGCGTGAGCCCTGCCCCGTGACGCCCCGACTGCCCCACCTGGCCGTCCGCAGGCTCCTCACCGCCCCCCACCCCCGGGCTGGCCCACACACAATCCCCTCCCCGAGGGCTCAGTATTTATTCGGAACGTGGGACAGGCCTCTGAGGTGGGGCTGGAGGTCCGTAATGGACTCAGCCCCTCGGCTCTAAGAGCGACCATCACTGGAACCACCACAGACGTGCCAACTTAAAACTGTCCAGGGTGGTCTGGGCACCAGTGCTGCTAAAGCTCCCTGTGGCCCCCACATACAGCCAGCGCCCTGCACCCGCTGGCAGGCTTGGTAAAGCACCAGCTCAACCCCTCTGAGTAGGCGCACACTTTGCAGACGAGGGGCCCGGCCCGCTTCTCATCGTGGGCTCGGAGGGCCGCGGCCGGCTCTTAGCGGCAGGTGGCATCTTACCACAGCCACAGCCTCCGACGTGAGCATCTGCTCAGGGGACAGCGTGGTGAAGTAGGCCAGGTTCGTCAGCACGTACACCAGGGTGACGATGGGGAGGGAGATGATGATGGCCAGGGGCAGGTTTCTGCAAGGACCGGGCGGGCACATCACCAAAATGAAGCCCACCACGGGGCCGGGCCCGCCCCTCGCTGCAGGGGAAGCGGCACATGACCAGCAAGTGGCTGGAAGGTGGCGCTTGGGGCAGGGCAGCTGTGCAAACCTGGGCCAGCGACTCAACCCTGCCGGCCTCCACGCCCCCATCTGTGAAATGGGCTTCCTGCCCATTCTGAGGACGAACCTTCTTCTAGATCACACGGCCCCCATGATCCTGACCCCAGGGGCCCTCCCGGAAGGCCATGCACGGCTTTTGTCGGGGGCTGGGCTGAGCCCAAGGATGGGCTCTTGGACAGAACCAGGCTTCTTCCTTCTCTCAGGTGAAAATGATAAAAACACGCGTCTCCGTTCGCATACATACCTGTAGGGATTAATCATCTCCTCTGTGACAAAATTCAAGTAATTCCTAGAATTGAGAGAGCAGACTTTTATTATACGTTCCTCCCGCAGTCATCGGGAAGAAAGAATGCAGGTTCCACGGGGAGTCCGACCTGGCTGCCCTGGGCCGGTGGAGAGGGGACGCCCACACCCCCAGGGACACTCACTCCCTCCTGGTGAGCAGCGGGGGCCATGGGGGCGCCTCCTGAGATGGCGATGGTCCTGCCCCTCCCCAGCGCCATCCCCCCTGGGAAGCAGCACCGTCCCTGAGGTGTCAGCAGAGGTTTATCTCGGGGCCCCATTCTCGGGGGCAGGACACGAGCCGAGAACAGCACTGCTACGAGGGCCCCTCTGTGCTTCCTCGGGAAGCATGGGGTTTCCTGCCCCCGCCCCGTAGAATTGCCCGTGGATGGCCAAGAGGTGTGGATTTCTGGACACTTTGGGGTCTGGCACGTGTGCCCCAGGGCCCGGATGTTCTAGAACCTACCATCCCCCGTAGGCAAAGAGGCCGCTGTACAGCGCCAGCACGATGTTCCCCACGTCCACTTTGGTGCCTTCAAACGAGGACTTGGGGTCCAGATTGGATATGTTACCTGGCAGGGGCCAAACAGACAGATAGGGATTCTGGGTTAGAAATCGTGGCACGGAGGCCAAGCCACAAGTTCCGCAATGTTCCTGGATCAAAATACAGTAATAGACAAAAATGCAACAGATTAAATGCACCTGTGAGCCCCCAGACTCCCAGGGGCCGGGGCAGGCAGGCAGGGTGAGTGCAGTTCGGCTAGGTCTGAGGCCCCTGGCCCCGCCCACTCGAGATGGGGAGGGCAGCTCTGCAGACCCCCGGCCGGGCGGACACCCAGAGCCCATCTGTGCCTGTGGGACAGGATGCCTGGGACGGGCGGGCACCGGGGTGGGTCTGCCTTGCCTGGGCTGCAGGGCGCTGGGCGCCTCAGAGGACGCTCCCTGCAGATCTCAAGATGCGGCCCAGTCAGGGCACCTGGGCTGCGTCTCCACTCTCCCCCTTAGTGTTGGGAGCCCAGAGCTGCTAAGCGTAAGCCAGCCTTCTCGTCTGGGCACACGAGCTCCCAAAGACGACCTGGACCCGCCCTGGGACGCGGCTGCACCCGAGGGGCTGCAGCTGGTGAGGGACGGTGGGCTCAGCTCTGTTCCCTAACCCAGATGGACGTACTGGGCTCTTGGACACAAGGGGTCGGCTTCTCTGCTGACCATTTCCACCCTGAATGGCCCCAGGCGTCCTGGGCTTGTGGCCGTTATCGCTCCAACCTCTGCCCCTGCCTTCACTGGCACCTCTGCTGTGGCTCCTCTTGTGACCCAAAAGGACACCTGTCATTGGACTTAGGGCCCCCCTAACCCAGGATGATCTCAGCTCCATCTTTTCCTTAATTACACATATAGAGACCCTTTTCCTGAATAAGGCCACATCCACCGATTCCATTGGACATGTTTTGGGGGCCACCACTCAATCCAGTATGGTAGACGTGAAATGTGGGGGCCTTAGAAGGGTCCCTGGCTACTAGGACAGTGTCTGGCCCTTTCTGAGGCTGTTACACCATCTGTGAAATGGCCCCATAACACCCAGGCCCAGAAAGACTCGCTCCATAAGGAGGGACCAGCCTGCCAGCCAGGTGCCGACGGACACGGGCAGGGGCTCGGCCAGACTCCACGGGGTTTTCGTTCCTGGCTCCCCGGCTCTGGGTGCGGCCGTGACACAGGCCCCATGGCTCTGGATATGAGGGTCTGTGCCCCGTGCTGCTGAGAAGCACATGGTCCAGGACCCGAGGGACCAGGCTGAGACGTGACCCTGGGGCTGCTACATGGGTCACTGCCGCCCGTGGCTGGAGGATCTGCAGGTCCCTCGGGGGACGGGGGGATGGGGGGGATGGAGGACGCCATGCCTTCCACAAGGGCGATGGCCTTGGTCACCCCAGGAACACAACACGGTGATGGTATGAGGAGGTCGAAAAGCGGACCCGTGGCAGGGAGGCTCCCATAAAACCCCGTCATTCTACCCAGCCAACACCGCGGGGGGAGGGGAGGGACCCCAAGTTCCTTTCTGGGTCCAGATGCCCTGGATGCCTGGACTCTGCCCTGTAGGTGTGCTCAGGCGTGAGCTGGGAGAAGGACTTAGGACGCAGGAGGTCCCTTCCGCTCCCCAGATGAGGCCACGGTCTCATGATGAGAAAAGGCTCCAGGGAGGCTGGCACCTCACCCAGCCCGCCACCCACACGTGGATCTGTGTTGGAGGCCCGGGTCCTGAGACCGCCTGGTCACAGGGTGGTCAGCAGGCTGGTGGGCGGGGGCAGTGCAGAGAGCCGGCTCAGGACAGGGCACCCCAGCACAGCACCCAGGGCCTGGCTGCTCCCCATGGAATGTTCTGGAATGTGCCTTCCTTTACATCTGTGGGGAGGGGGAGGGGCATCTGTCCCACAAGTTGGGGAAGCTGAGGCTCAGGCCACCTGCCCACAGACCTGGGTCTGGCCTCCTGAGCAGGCAGCCGCTCCCAGACGCTGCAGCTGCTCCCGCGACCCCAGGTCTCCAGAAGACCCTGCACCCCTACAGGGTGTTGCTGCTGCCCGTCAGGGTCTTGCAACTACTTCTGGAACATTAAAGGCCTTTCACAGCAAGGGCTCCTTACAAGTAAGGCACTTGTGATTTTCTCCTCAATCTGCACCATTTCCCCATCAGGACATACTTCGATCTCCTGCTTGTGCTTCAAGGGGAACTGCTTTTCGCACATGCTGGAAGATAGATCTTGGTGCAGCCATTAAAACTGGCTCCCAGGACTTCCCTGGTGGTGCAGTGGTTAAGAATCCGCCTGCCAATGCAGGGGACACGGCTTCGAGCCCTGGTTCGGGAAGATCCCACATGCCGCGGAGCAACTAAGCCCGTGCACCACAACTACTGAAGCCTGCACGCCTAGAACCCATGCTCCGCAACAAGAGAAGCCACCGCGATGAGAAACCTGCGCACCTCAACAAAGAGTAGCCCCCCGCCCGCCACACTAGCTGTTCTGGCCCAAACGCAGACTGAAGACTCTCACGGGCTCCACTGGGGGCCTCAGTAGGACAGGTGTGGCCAGGCCGTCCTGCTGGGAGCTCTCTTGGTTATCCGGGGCCTCATTCCCTGTCTACAAAGCACCCGAATGCCCTGGAGGAAAGTGGGCATCCAGGTGCACAGAGGCCAGCACACCCCCTGCTTCTCTCCTGGCACGGTGGTGCGGGGGGGAGGGGGTTGAGGGGGAGCTCCGCCAGGAATGTGGCTGCTTTGGGCTCCGATCCGCCACTGCAAGTCCCTCTGTGCTGCCCCCTCCCTGTCACCTCCCTCCTGCCGACAGTCAGCGCCCGATTGGGTGCACACGTGGGCCCCCTCGGCAGAACTCCTGGGTCTGTCCAGCCTCCGTCTGAGCTGGAGGGCCGCCTGGATCAGACCCGCAGCCGGGCTGGGCACCCGACCAAACACTGGCCGAGTTCTGCCCTCCTCTCCACGGGCGCCTTGGAATGGGCGCCGGGCCTGCTGGCTCTGCACGGCACTTGGCCCCGGGACCCCCAGGACAGGCACGGCTCGGGGGAGCCCGCCCGGGGACAGTGGCTCCGCCTGCCCGCGCCGCCCGGGCATCCTGTTGGGGCTGGAGCCCTCACAGCAGGTGGGCTTGCAGAGGTCTGGAGAGCTGGGGGGGCGTGCGCGGCACCTGCCTGGTAGTCTCCAGAGCAGTAAAAGAAGCAAGGGAGGCAGCCACACCCCGTGAAATGATGTGTGTCCGCAGCCGCTTGGTGCCTGGCGGCCACCGCAGGGGACACACAAGAAAACCCCCTGGGAGGGCAGATCAGGGCAGATCCCAGACCCCGCACGGTGGTCTCAGCCACCCACCGGCCCCAGCAACCAGGGGACATGCGGTGATGGGAGACACTTGGGATTGTCACGGCTGGGGGCGTCATCCAGTGGGTGGAGTCTGGGTGATGCGAATACCCGGCAACACACGAGACGGCCAACACAGCAAACAGTGCCGGGCGGGATCCCGCTATAGACGGTGCTGGCAGGTGCGTGGCTCATGTCCTCGGCCGTCCCCCCAGTGGACCCCAAACCGGGATGCCATCCTTGTTAAAAACACAGAGCTCCAGATGCCGGCCAGACACGGGATGGATGACCTCGTTAACACCCCACCCACGCCCATGACCGCCGAGCTCCCCACTCCAGCTCTGTCCTCATGGGGCCCCCAGGCCCACAGAAGGCAGGCAGGCAGAAAAGTCATCACGATGGACAGATGGGGGAGCGCAGGCCCTCCCGCAGGGGCTGGGGGTGTGGGTCCCCTGGGCCACCCCGTCTCTGGGGCTTCTCGGCAGGCCTCAACGCCGCCTCTAACTCGCTGCTCACCCAGAAGGTGGTGCCACCTGGGGTGGGTCCCGCCCCGCCCCGCCCCGCCCCCAGGCTCACCCGCAGTACAGGCACAGGCAGGCCCCGAGGCCGCTTCATAGGGTCTGCCCATCTCAGAGGGCCGCGGGAAGGTGAAAACTAGCGCAGAGCCACATCCTGGGCTCTCTGGCAGCCTCGGGAACCAGGCTGGCTGGGGTGGGAGTGTTCACAAGGCCCCAGGAGCCGATTTCAGGGAAAGGAGCCCAGACCCCTGCGTCATGCAGACAGAGCCATGGCAACCCTCGACCTGGAGCTGTGCACGTGGGGACGGGACCAGGAGCCCCGGGGGATGTGCCAGCCCCTCTGAATCAGAGGACAAGGGCTCCTCATGGTGTCTGCGTCCCCCCAAGATCCTGCCGGGCTTACGTCACACTCACCAAGGCTTGGCCTGGGCCCGGGCATGGGAACCCACAGTCTCTCAATGCCCAGCCTGGAGATGGCAGCTGGGGGCAAGCTGGAAAAATGCCAGAGCCTCAGGGTGACCAGGCCGTGCCCTGCCCAGTGCTCTCCCTCCTGCCTCTGCCCACGGGCACCCCTCTCAGGACGCTGACGCTGACTGTGAGAAAGTCATTCCCCGAACCAGGGTGGGCGGGTGTCCACTGTGCAGGAACCTTCCACCTGGTCCCTCCTGAACCCTCTGGGGTTCCACATAATGGTCGTGTATGTGGTGGAGCGCACTGCACAGGGTACCCCCAAAGTTCATGTCCCCCTGGAACCTCAGAAGGTGACCTGCTCTGGAAAAGGATCTTTGCAGATGTAATCAACGCAAGGATCTCAAGGTTGAGACCGTGGACGAGGGTGGGCCCTAATTCCCCGAGAGCGTCCTTATAAGACACAGAAACACGGGGGCCACGTGAGGACAGAGGCAGAGTGATGCAGCCACGAGCCCGGGAACCACTGGAGCTGGAAGAGGCAAGGACGCTCCTCCCTCCAGGTTCCAGAGGGAGCTCGGCCTGGTTTTGGACTGCCAGCCCCAAGACTGTGAGGGGGTAACTGCTGTCGTTTTAAGGCCCTGGTCTGTGTCCTGTGCTGTGGCTGGCCCACAACACTCCCGTTTCCGCTGTGCCTTCACAGGCATGGTCAGGACATGCCACAGCCATGGCCTTGGATCCCGCCTCACCATCACGGGCCAAGCGAGCAGGTGCTTGGCCGTGGGACTGAGCCCCATCTGAGAGTCAGCTCTGTAGGACCCCTGCCCTTAGCGGGTCTCCTGCTCCACCCAGAGACCAGGCACCCTTGGGAGGCTGCATCCCACAGCTGGCTTGCCGCGGGTCCCTCTTTCTTGTCTCCACACCCCGGGCTGAGCGCACGGTGTCTGGTGCCTATTCTCCGCTCTGCCTCGGGGGTGGTGGTGACGGTGCCCATTCACCGTGGCCAGCGTCTGTCTCTGGTGTCGTCCATCTTTTAAACTCCTGGAGGAGCTGACCCGGGGCCTCAGGATCAGCTTCAAGCCTCAAAGGACCCTCTCTGCACTGCACAGGCTGCAGAGACCCCTGGGCACAAAGTGTGCCCAGCACAGGGCTGTGTGGCTGCCGCCCCCGTCCTGCTGCGGCCCCGTCCGAGCAGCTGACCACCCAGGGCACGGGTGAGCAAGGTCGGCAGGGAGAGAGCCAACTTCCAGGCCTTTGGTCTCATCCCCGAGGGCAGCACAAGCAAAGCATGTGACTTCCCATCTGTGATGACTCTGGACTCGGAATCTGCACAGAGCCACGCAGGCTGATGGAAAGGTCTCAATTAAAAACAATCAAAGAGCACCCGGAGGGCTTCCCTGGTGGCGCAGCGGTTGACAGTCCGCCTGCCGATGCAGGGGGCGTGGGTTTGTGCCCCGGTCCGGGAAGATCCCATATGCCGCGGAGCGGCTGGGCCCGTGAGCCATGGCCGCTGAGCCTGCGCGTCCGGAGCCTGTGCTCCGCAACGGGAGAGGCCACAACAGTGAGAGGCCCGCGTATCACAAAAAAAAAAAAGAGCACCCAGAGGAAAGAGCCACCCGTGTCCAAGCCCTCCCGCGGTGGCTGAGGGGTGCCCATGTCTGCCGCGCGACCTGCTGCTCTGGGCATTGGGTGAGGAGCAGACTGGCCCGCCCTCCCCCTTGGCCCCGCCCCTGTCTCCTGGGGCACAGGTGACCGTGGGGAGAACTGAACCCCAGCCACGTGGCCCCCGTTACAGCACCCTGCGGTCCCGGCATGACCCTGAGCCCCTCTGAGACGGCCTCCATCACAGGGCCCCTAAGTCCTGCACTAGGGGAGGCTGAGCCCGGGCGCCCCCGAAATGTCTCCCCTCCCTGTGAGGACAACAGCCGGGCTCACAGGCCGCCCGAGCTGCCTGCCCACAACCTGAAGACAGTTTCAGGCGGCACCAAGGCCTGGGGCCGCTGTGGCTACTGTGGCCACTTCACACATGAGGACACCAAGGCTCTAGCAAGCGAAGGGCCCTGCTGAGACCCAGACCCTCCCAGCACGAGGGTCTCCTCCCTGCCCCCCAGTGCTCTGGCCACCTGGCTGGGCTGCCCAGGGCCTTCCCCACCAGCTTCGGACACCACCCTGGGACAGGACGCAGGGTGGGCCGTCCCTCGAGGGAGCTCTCGTCCCCGCACACAGTGCCCATCGTCACAGGCCTTGTGGGGTCATGACTGGACCCCGACCCTGCTACAAGCCGGGCAGGGTTGGGCCACCACTGCTCTGTGGCCTGGGGGCCCACTAACCTAAGAACTAAAACACACACTGTCAAGTGACTGCCAGCCGAGTCCCAGCCCTGCGGGCACGCTGGCCTTCACAGCTCCACCGGGGCCTCCCCACTGCCAGGATCCCCTTCGGCCCAGGTGGACCCCTGCCACCCCTGCCCTAGGTCACTCCATGGCAGTGCCCGGACACACATGATCAGCACAGGGGCCAGGAGCCTCCACGCCCAGGTCTCCCGGACACGGGGGCCTACGTCTCAGCGCCAGGTGATCTCGCAGGAACTGCCATGGAGGCCAGGGCCCGGGGCCAGGCCTGTCGGTCCCCCCTCCTGTGAGCTCCCCCAGGGGGCACCCTTAACCTGCAGGGTGACACCAGCTGCTCCAACTGCTCCAGGAGATGCCGGCCCGCCCACCGGAGGACACAGCCGAGCAAAACCACAACAGTCCCATTGTGTGTCCTCTAGGAGGGGCTGGGGCTCAAGGCACGAGCCTTCCCCACTCCCACCCTCCAGTCTCAGAATGGCCTGGCCTTGGGCCGTGGGCCTGCTGGGTGTTGTAGGTAAAGGGCCGACAGGGAGAAGTCAAAGCGGGCACGGAGTGCCCTCTGCCCACCGCTGTCACTCAGCCCTGGTCCTCGGGGCGCCCCCTCCACATCACGCGCCGGGCCTGCTTCTCTCTGCAGCCGCCCCTGGCCAAGCCTCCGCCACCCACACTTCATGGCCACCGGGCTCTGAAATGCCGGCCTGATTTCAGTGCCCCCCTCCTGAGAAGGCTGGGGGGAATCCAGAGGCCTCGCGTGGTGCCAGGCCCCGCATGCGTGCCTCCCCCGGCCTCCGGGCCACCTGAGCCCCTCCCCGGCCCTGCAGAGCCAGCCCTGGCCACACCAACTCTGAGCCTTCATCCAGCCGTCCCTCTGGCCCTCAGAAGGGCCTTCCTGATCGGGGCCGAGCCCTGCCTGCCCGTCTGCGAGTCTCCTGTGCACATGTTTGATGTCTGCACACCAGACACAGCGCGAGCCCTGGACGGCAGGGCCGAGTCCTCAACTGGGTCTCAGCACAGAGCCACACCCGGGGCCGCAGAAACTTCTGGTGAAGGAGGACAGGAAGGCGGGCAGGACTGCCCACGAGTCTCACTGGCGACGAGGACGAGGCCTGGAACAGAGGCCTGGAACCTGGACCTGCCAGGCTCCACGCCCCAGCCCCTTCTGCAGCCCCCAGGCCCCTCTGGGCACCAGGCAGGCCAGGCGGGGCCAGGCACTGGTAAAGGGCAGAGACGGCGCGTGGGCGGGTCTGCGAGATGCGGGTCATGTCCTCCAGATGCACCGTGGCTCGCAGCCAATCTGGGCACCATCACGCTGAGCCCCTGCCCGAGGGGCCCTGGCCCTTCCGCCAACATTCAGCATGGGATCCTTGGGGCAGCCGCCCAAGGGGTAAGTCAGGCGACTCTCGTGGGGAAAGGGTTGTTTTCACAAAGTGTCCTCTACAAGGGAGGGCATCCATCTGGGAGGGAAACCAGCGGACAGGAATTTTGCAGACACTGCACTGCCTCCCAGGTTCAGAAAGGAATGGCTTCGGGGGGAGGACGTTTTCGATGGCAGTAGAATTATAAACACGTTATGTATTCAAGCTGAACAAAGGCGCTTTGCTATCCCTGCTGAAATTTGTTTTTACAAAACTCCGGCCCCCCTACCTTCTTCATCAGCCTGTAGCTAATCACACCAGCCAAGCAAAACCTTCACCAGCAAGTCCTCCTCAAATGACACTGAGCGTGCTCCCCAGCTAGACCGTCTGGTGGGCGCAGGATGGATTTTTCCTCCTACCCACTGGTTTCCACCCATAAGCTCTCAGTGGCGGGGAGTCCCTCAGCTCCCTTAGTGCTCCCGTCAGCACTCCTGGTACCTGGAACCCAGCCCGGCCGGGGTCCTCCAGACAAAGTCTTGTCTTTAGGAAGATGCTGGAACCCGAGATCCCAGGAAGCCAGGGGACACAGAGGCTGGTCTCCCCGCTCCCCGACACACGGGGCTACGGGGGTGGGGGTGGTGCTGCTCTGTGTCGTCACGGTGACCTCAGCCCCTACGAGACCACAGATCTGTGGCAGCCACGCACAAGGCTAGCGTGGGCCTGCCATCCAGCCATCCTGGAGAAGCCAGTACCTCCGTTCACCAAGAGACACCCTCGAGAATGTTCCCGACAGCATCCCTCTCAGTAGCCAGAAACGGGGAGGCTCCACCTGCCCACAGCATAAACTTTGCGGCACATTCACGAGAACGCAGCCCAGCGGGAAGACACACTGCCACCAAACGCCACTGCATCGGCGCCCATCATGGGAGGGGTCGGCATGGCGGGCAGCCATCCACAGGGCACGGGGACCCTGCTGGGGGCTGGGGGCACGTTCCCGTGTGGAAGATCCAGCGGCACCGGCAATAGCACCTCTCGGCCGTGCTGCTAATGCAGGAGGCGCGTCGCCAAGCTCTCCCCACGAACCACCGCCCACCCCGGTCACCACCAGGCCCACCCTGTGTGGGCAGGACAGCGGCCTCTGAGTGGCGGACCTGTTTCTCCTGCTGCTCTGGGACGGACGACCCGCCAGGTGACGTGCAGCCCACCTAACTCAGTGTCAGTGCTTCTCCCGGGGCCGCGTGACGCGCCGACTCCAGTGACACCCGTTAGCTAAGGCGGTGGATTTGGGGCCGGGCGCTCAGAGACGGGGCCCCCTCCCCCTCCCCCCACACGCCCCCAGGCTCAGCAGGGCCTCCCGGGACAGCGGGGAGACCCCAGGGGCTGCACTCACCCTTCCCGATCTGGATGAAGCCGAGCAGGATGATCAAGGCCAGCGCCAGCAGTTTGGCCGCGGCGAAGGCGTCCTGGACGCGGGTGGCGGCCTTCACACTGTAACAGTTGACGGCCGTGAGCAGTACTGTGGAGACAGGGGCAGCGAGTGAGTCCCGCGGAAACGCGGGCAGAGGGGCTGGCGAGGAGAACCCCAGCCCTGAGGTCACAGGCTGAGAGACAGCTGTGAGCCCAGGTGCCCCCCAGGCTGCCAAAAAGGTCTTTTTGTCCTAATGAATGAATTTCAACACGTCACCGCCACCTGAGTCCCTCCTGCAGGAGCCCTCGAGGAGAGCGCTGTGCTCAGAGCAGGCTGAACGCCCACACTGCCATCTCGGGGGCGGGGGGGCGGGGGTGCTCAGTCACCTTTCTGCTCCCACCTGACACTTCAGCACAAGTGTCAGGCTCTCCCACAGGCACCCAAACTTCTCAAGGTGGGAACCCTCTCTTCAGAGGGTCCTCGTAGGATCCCACAGGGGCACAAGGGGTGCGGCATCAGCCTGACAAGCCTGGGGTGGGGGGGTCCACGGGGGCTGAAGGAGATGCACAGCCCAGGCTCCCAGTGGTGAGAATAGCAAACGAGCACGAACTCTGCGGCTGGTGTCACAGCAGATACTAAAGACCCAGACTCCACGCCAGTCACCACCACGGGGAGGGACAGGAGACACGGGGGGGCGGGCAGCTAAGCCAGGCTCCCCAAATGTGCCGACACACGCAGGCCCCGCCTGGGACCCCAGGGAGACCCTCCAAGTCCTGAGCAGAGGTGGAGGCAGCGCTCAGTCTTCAGGGACCTCGCCAGCAGCCCCTCTGCAAACTCACCACAAAACAAAATTAGATGAAAACAAAGGCAACAAACCAGCACTCAACACCCGTGCCTTCCTACTCGGTGGTTCCTACCTCTCGGCCGAGTCGCACGTGGAAACACGCACGCCGTGAGGCCAGCGCTCCAGTGCCCACGCCACTGCTGACGCCAGCTACCCAGGGAGATGGCCGGGGCGCAAATGGGGCCTTTTATTCTCGGCAGGCTGGCGGTCGAACATTAACCAGCACAGCCTGGACCCAAGGGAAGGGCGTCTGTCCACCATGCCCCGCACACACCGGCTTTTCCCAAGGGCTGCGGTGGGTGAGAAAGTCTGGACCGGGCTTCTGCTCCAGACAGAACCAATCCCGGGCGGGCAGATGCCATGTGGCTTCTTCCCCCAGCTAAATCAATTACGTGTACTTTTACAACATGAGGGAAAGGCCGCAACGAAATAAATCCACGATGTTTAACTAGATGAGACCTGACAGTTCAGGTGTGAGAAAAACAGGAAATGGCCCCCTGAGCTCTGGTTAGGACCGGGGGCCCACACTGAACCCCGCCCACGCTTAGTGCTTCCAGAAATTAACTGATACCCAAATACCGCCCGCCCCATCACTTTCTCTTTGCTGCCCTAAGCCTGGCCGATGCAGCGGCTGACCGCGACTGTTTGCTACGCCCTCAGGAAGTTCAGGCTGAAAACTTTCAAAACCAGTTGCTTTTGGCTGCTACCCCTAAACTGAAACCCTCAGATGTTCCCAGACCAGATATGAAGGCAAAGAGCTGTCACAAATGGACCTGGAGTGGCCCTCACTCGTGGGGACCCGGGCCGAGTCTGCACCTGTCAGAGGCTCGTGATAAAATGAGCTGCCTCAGGGTGGCGGCGCTTACACGAGGCTGTGAGAACGGGGGGACAAAGTATCCATGTCACAGCACTGAAGCCATCTCCGGCAGCAGGAGCTGAGCCCGGGCTCAGATGAGGGGGCCGACGTGTGCAAGGGACAAACAGGACCAGTGACCTCCGCCGTGTGGCTCTGGGGTGGACAGAGGGCTCTCAGTTCGGGCCCTCGGGACCAACGCAGAGACAGCTGTCCCGTATTAAGTACATCAGCACTGCCATTCCCAGCACAGAAGAGGAGACAGAGGCTCAGAGAGGACCCCTGTACACGGCGCTAGGGGCAGACCCAGATCTCTGAGGCCCGTCTGATCTCAAACCGCCAGGTCGGGGGCGGGGGCGGGGGAGGAGGTTGAACAGCAGAATTACCTTCTCCTGGGCATCCAGGCTGGTGCGACCTGCCACGTGGCTAGGACCCAGGGTGAGGGGGCCTTGGAGGGCAACCCAGGTTCTTTCCCATCACTGGCCCCAGGGAGCCTGTGCACAGTAAGGCGGGGAGGGGGCTTTTCCAGGACAGTCGCACATTATGGGGAATGTGGCAGCCCTGAGGCCTTCCCTTCCGGATGCGCCAAGAGGCTGACAGATTGCATCACACTCCTCCATTCATGCCAGGCAGGAAGCGGGGAGAGCCGTGGCCAAGCCACACACGGGGAGGTGGCTCTTCCCGCCGCCAGCCCTGCCCAGCTGCCCTCACTGTTACCGCTGCACGACTCCCCTGGTTTGACTCACCCCATTTGGGGTGTGCACCCCAAGGGGAGCAGGGGCACCTCTCCCCACCTCACAGATAAGGACCTGGAGGATCCAGGAAGGGGGTGTGGCTGGCCCAGAGCCCCAGCCCCAGGGCCATCCCCCTGCAGTGGTCACTGGGGGCGGGACAGACCGAGGCCCAGGGCCCCTCCTCTACCGACCCAAGGCCCTCCCCTTCAGGAACACAGGGTGCCACCCTGCCTGTGCAGAGCGGAGCCCACCCGGCAGGTGTCCGAGCCCTGTGGACAGAGGGTAATGTTCCTTGAGCTCAGCTCCGTGTCAGAGAGTGGAGAGGCAAGGCCGGGCTGGCCGTCTGCAGTAGGGAGGGGAGCAAAGTGGACTTTGTAATATTCACTTCCTTTACAGAAAGAAGAACTGAGACGCACGATGGAACTTTAATGTCCACTGACTTCAGCTGATGAGGGAACAAACGCTTTATTATCCTCCCTAGCGTCCCTCCTAGAAAACTCTGAAATGAAACAGAATCTAAAGTAAATCAGGGGATTCACTAAGACCCGTGTCTCTTAGCCTTAAGGAAAGCAGCGCTGGGAGGCTGTCTGGGAGGCTGGATTTGCCTCTCGGCTACACTGGTTTTAGGCCCCGTCACCTGGACAAGGTGCCTGACTCTTCAGAGCCTCAGCTTCCACGCCCGCAGGATGGAGGGGGGGTGACAGGGACACGAGAGGCTCCGGGTGTCACACAGGGTCTGCTGCCGCCACTACCACTACTCGTGGCAGTACCCCCCCCGCGCTGCGTGGCAGGGGGAGGACAGTCTACCCCAGCGCACCCGCAGGCGGGCTGCTGGGTGAGGCCAGCACACTGGCGGGAGGGCACCCCGGCTGGCAGCCGGCCCCCTCGGGGTTCCCCGTGCCAGCACCCCCAGATAAGCACCCCGCAACAGCTGGGGCCGGGGAGATAAGAGCCCAGCGGCCTCCGGAGAGGAGCGGCAGTGGGCTGCGTGCAGAAGGCGGGAGCGGGCGGGGCCTGGCGGCTGGTGCCACGGGCCAAGCGGGAAGCCCGCCCTTCAGGGCTGTGCCTGTCCTGCCCTCATCCCGCCGTGACACAGTCACCTAGCTGGCCTGCAGGGGCACCCCAGCTCAACCTCGCAAATGAGCCGGGGTCCCCGGGGCTGTGCTGGAGGGCCCGCCACCCTCTGCAAAGTCACCGTTCCTCTGCCAACGGACCCACGAACTCGCACTCACACCCTGGTCCACCGCTCCCCACCCCAGGGGCTCCACCCATACCCCATCCTCGTGCCCGAGACAGCAGGAAGCGCTGCCCAGTGGGGGAGGGAGAACCCCTTGGCTGGCCTCCTGGGCTGCTCTCACCCCATGGCCCTGGGGACAGCCGGTCACACTTAGAGCCGGGCCATGAGCGCCAACTCCAGCTGCGACCTGGCGGACCAGGTGGCTTGAGTTCAGAGTCCTGTCTGCAGACCGCGAGGGCCACACGTGCCCAGGGGGCCACCCGGGCCGAGGACAGGGGCTGGCCCACGGGCTCGGGGATGCACGGCAGCTCCCCCATCTGTTATTTCTCAGGACCCCCCTTGGGTAGCGCCTCCGGGACCCTCCCAGAACCTGAGCACAGGGTGGCCGGCGGGGAGCTGCCACTGCTCCGCCCACCAGCGTACAAATGGGACGGGTGCCACCAGTCTCTGGGAGGGCGCTTATCTGAGCAGTTCCCAAAGGCTCCTGCCCAGCCTCGCCTGACGTGACCTCTCACCCCGGCCTGACCGGTTATCTCACTCTCCAGGCCCCAGGGTCCACCTCCTGATGATAACTCTTCACACATAGGCTGCTGTCAGCTGTCAGCCACTGAGGGCCAGCCTCCCAGCCCCCGGTACATGCTGCGCAGCCGACTGGCTGTCTCACTCGCAAGGGAGAGCTTGAAATGCAAGGGGACCTGTTTTCATTTTAAAACACCAAAAAAAAACAAAACAAAGTACAAAAAACACACCCAAATCTTAGTTCCCCGAACCCGCACCCCCTGCAGTGGAAGCGTGGAGTCTTAACCACTGGACCACCAGGAAAGTCCCTCTGCTCAATATTCTGTTAACAACCTAAATGGGAAAAGAATTTGAAAAAGACTAGATATGTGTATATGTATAACCGAATCACTTTGCTGTACACTTGAAACTAACACAACATTGTTAATCAACTATACTCGAAAATAAAATTAAAAAATTTTAAGTTAAAAAAAAAAAACAAAAGAAACCACACACCCAAATCCATTTCCCTCTCTGACAGAGGGTGACACCCTGATGGGATTTATCAGGCCCAGTGACCAGGGCTGCCCCTGGATTTTGTGTATGCCAGTAACAAAATCTTCAACAAACCCGGCAACGAGGGCCAAGTATGAGCACCTGCTGCGTGCTCTCCATCGTTCAGCGTCCTCGGCACTGCCGGGGGTCCCCTCACCCTCACCCCCTCTGCTGACTCGAGGACAAACACACCAGACAACAGCATGACTGACGCCAAGAGAACCATCTGAAAGCAAAGCACCTGGGGACTGGCTGGCCCCCCACTCATGAGAAAACCCGTCTACTGTCCCCACGTCTCTGATGGGGCCGCAGCCGTGGACCCTCCCTCGTCCCCGGCCCAGTGTCTGTAGGGACCGTCCCCCTCCAGGATGGAAAGGGGAGTGCAGG